TATCCCTCGCCCCCCCCCCCCGTTCTCCTCCGCCCCCGATCCGCCGGCCCTCGTCCACCGTCCACCGCCCCCCGAGCCCGCTGCCCCTAGAACCCGGGTTTTATGTCTCGCGGTCCAGTCGTACTGTCTGCATCTCGTATCCTGTTATAGGTATTGTGTGCCAAGGAACTGCCGAGGATATCTGCAGCGTTAAGGAGCCTTCACAGCGACTCTACTACACTTCATTTCACGCGAACCAACCCCTTCCTCGACGCTAAATCTACCGAGCCCCAAAACGAACTCACGTCTGCTGCTTTGTCACGATCGAAAGATTGCGTTTATTTAAACTTTTCACCGCTTTCATCGTAATGCACTCACGAATTAGGAAATTTCAACAGAAAATGTGAAATCAGTCGCTATAACCGCCCCCCGGTAAGTTCGATACGTACGACGAGTACACAACGCGGATTCTGGAACAGAACTATAGCAACATTCACAATTTTTCAGATGTTTCAACTTTGGAAGATTGACTCGTCGAACAATGCAGACTAGCAATTTTAAAATGGTAGTAACGTTAGAAGAGTTCTTGAGTACCGATACGTTGCTTTCAATTTATTAAAATTCTTACAAACAAATAAGCGATTTCTAAGTGGCTTTCCGTTTCCTCCATCAGTTTACAACGAATTTAGATGATTTTTATTTTGCGTATGGACATTCGCGGTTTAACCCCTTGACGAATAAGGGAAACATTTTTCCCCATTTTAAAATTAGCAATTGTCGTATTTAATTATTGGTTATCCATGGTACAAAACGCAATTTGCCAGCACGCAACATGCAAAAAGCGGAAAAAATGTGCAAATTGTGCAATATGCCGTATAGAAAATAGAACGCATAATATGTATATGTACTACGTATAATGTTCATCTTTGCTTCACAACCAAAAGAAATTGCTTCCCAGAACATCATAATTAGCACATCAATTTGTATAGTAATTTTATTTCATAATTTTGTACTATTTCAGTTAACATTTTGTAAAAAACATGAACTAATAAATAAAAAACATTGTATAATAAGCCTAATCATAATTTCTGTTACCTTTGTAGTCCATTGGGAAAAATATTTCCCATAAAATTCCAAAAAAACTACACATTGATTTGTATTTTTCTTATAGTTTTTATTTATTTTGCGTCTAAAAACAAACTAAAATAAACAATTATATACTAATATTTATTCTTAGCAACCTTATGGTCCTGTAAGGATTAACGATTACTATTCCGAAGTACTAAATCGATTGCCATCTTCGGGTATTAAATGTGTCCCATAATTTTGTTAACACTCTGAAAGGGGTGATTCCTGAGGTGATTTGAAGTAACTATTTCTCCTTAGCGAAAATCCAATCCGCGGCTTTGTTTACGAGTTATTAGCGAAAAACGCTGACCAATAAGAAACGTGCTCGCTTAGCGCGAGGCGGCTCAGCCAACGGGCGCACGAAGCCCAATTCCGCTCCTTGGCTCGGCCGCCCCGCGCCAGCTGATCTCGTCTCTCATTGGTCAGTGTTTTTCGCTAATAACTCGTAAACGAAGCCGCGGATTGCATTTTCGCTAAGGAAAAAGTTACTTCAAATCACCTCAGGAATCGCCCCTTTCAGAGTGTTAATAAAATTATGGGACACGTTTAATACCCGAAGATGGTAATCGATTTAGTACTTCGGAATAGTAAACAGGGTGTTAACATAATTATGGGACACCCTGTAGAACCCGGCCGGCACGGATACGCTCTCGGTGCATAAAATGTGAACGGTATCAGATATATTCGAAGCGACATGGAGAAAGCACCGTCGCGTCGCGTTGCAACGTTTTCGACGAGAATCTTCGCTCATAGGAAATTGAAGGGGCCTGAGATGAATAAAATTCAATTTCTTTCGCGAGTCGCTTCGACAGATTGCTTGGGAAACGAGACCATCGGATCTCTTATCGAGAATTTTCATTTGCCATAAACGTATAAATTTCCACTGTGTCCAAGAAACGTTGACCGCGCGCTATTCGAGCAACATCCGGCAAGCTCGATCGCTTTTATACGTCCGAAGTTCGAGGCAGAGTTGCGAAACACTCGCCAAGTTTTGTCAATTTTTCAGTCGCGCTGCCGATTACGGAAGATTGCACGACCGGCGGTGTACCGGTGTACGTGAACTGTAAATGCGCGAGCGCGACGATGGTATGCGAGAATAAAGTGGCTTTCTCTGTGTGCACGCGGGTCGGTGGAAGCTGGATAGAATATTGCAACGTCGATGAAACGTCGTCGAAAGCCTCCGGAAGGCAGCGTGGGGTGGAAGTTACGAGTCTCCACGAGGATCGTGGGCGGACATTAGCAACGATAGACGAAAACTACCAACAATAAGTGCTTCGACGTCTGCGTTCGCGCGCCACTCCACGATAGGATACAAACCCGTTTATCATGTCGAAAATGAAATTTTTGAGGTGTTTTCACACATTTATTGATAACCCTTCAAGGATTCAAAATCCAAGTATTAGTAATTTTAAATAATTATGTATGCGAGGACATCGCGCTAATGACAGAAGTTCGAAATTCAAATGAAACCTTTAATTCTAAGATCTCATAAAGAAGCATATACTAATGGGTCTCAAATAATTAGTTAATTAATTAATTAATTGATTAATTAGTTCCTAATGATTTTATAATCCATGTACAAGTGCTGCAACATTTAAAGAATTTGAGCTTTGAAAAGGGTCTTTCAAAAATGTTCAGAAACGTTAGACATGGGACTTATTTCATATGAAAGCTTTTTTTTAACTGGCCCAACGTGTCTGTGGCTGGAGCGAAAGTTTCAACGATTTTTCACACATTTCCGATGATCTGGCAACAAGATGTTTCGAACAAAAGTTCTCTACAAATATTAATATATAAAACAAAACGTTTCGA